TCTTCTTCTGAACTGCTGCCTGGAACTCGTATATTCTCCTCTATTGGCAATGTCAAAGTACGTTGTCACGTGCGAAACTTACGCTTGGCTCCTTTTCTGTTGGATCAGAATTGGAGGAAAATCTACCAGTATTGTTTTTGATGTTTACGTCGTCCCTTCCATCTTTTTATCGCAGAAAAAGTCTCCATTCCCGACGAAGAACTGTAAGCGTAAAACAGTCCGATGTATACATAGGTGCACCGGACGGGTATCTTTATGAGCCAAACTGCACTAATCTCTCAGCCAACACGGCTACAATATTTCGATTGTGCTGTCTCACCATAAGCCCCTGCCTAGACGTGCCACCACACTCCCCACGTGTGGCATTTGTTCGGATGCTTGATCCGAATATCTCATGCCTTGCAGTTATGTTGGTACAGAGCATCTACTACCTAGCCCATTGCATTGTAAGACACAAAAAACGCGTCATGTAAGAAAATATATCACCTGCGCGCAACAGCGTGGCAGAACAGTGGATGTCGTCCGAGAGTGCGCTCGAAACAGCAAGCATGTCGTCCGATAGCGTAGCCTGTCAGCGTGCAAGCATTATATCACCGCGTACTTGATTTGAGTGCAACCAGCAAGGCCAGCAAATTAATATTCAGCACCAGTTGAAGTTTGAGGCTCGGGTCGCCTTTACTTGTTAGTAGGGCCATCAGCGGGCTCTCATGTTCTTCTTAGGGGATACAGGTGGCAGCCTTCAGTGCCTAAGATTTAACATGCTCATCAACATGGGAAACCCCTAATAATTTCATCCAATTAATGAGTTGGCCACTCAGTACATCGGACACCTAAATTTACAGCTTTACGTGTAAATGCGAACAAAATAAGGACGTTGTTATCCTGGAAACGTATTTAAATGACGGCTTAGAACGGATGATCTCGGGAGTATAAAGGAATGAAACTGGAAAATAGGATCAGTCTTGGTAGTCAGATTGTTATGTGACTGAAAGCAGACGTGACAGGATGCTTATTTTTGGTCAATGACAGGGGCGAACTCATTGAGTGCGGAGTCGATTGTGAGGAAACAAAGTATGCATACCAGGTGTCAGAGTGCCAGTCATCCACTAGGACCCTCGAGTGCACACGAACTCCAACCTGGATCTACTTGATACTGCCAACAATCGTTGCTGGAAGCAATCATTCGTTATTTTAGTTTGGGCGTTACATACTTGGTCGAGTTAGTCATTAGTGACATTGCTTTGTCTGCCGACAAACGAATGCTGGTTATTTAGTTCAAATTTACATGTTCTTATTTTACAGGGGGCGTACTCGTATAGTTCTTATGGTGTGAACTCTGTCTTGGGCACTTACTCGTTTCTCTTTAATGTTGTTGAATGCAAATAGTTGACAGTATTGCTTATTACGCTCCGCATGATAATTACTAGTGGTCAATTCATTGGGATATTCTGACATAACCTTAACTGTTCTAGTTAGGTGTATGCTGTAGAGTGAACCGGCTATTGTAATTTAAGTTCAGAAATCAAACTGCAACTTCCTTTTGTCACGAATGAAAGCGAACATACGTGCCCCGGGTTATTGTTGCAAAGAAGACAAAGGCGCGAGCAGTGGTACAGCAGCACTGTGTCCTAGTGATCGCGCTTTTTTCCTTGTAACTTCCTTTCGTATTCATATAGTCTGTTTCTGCTTTGAGCGTTGTGCTTTGTTTTATTGTCTCCGTGTGCTTCCATAACTGCCGAGCAAGTTTCACCTGATGGAAGGGTGCAGTAGTTGCACGATCTTTAAGAAATATACAATAGTGCCTTTTCTTTGGTCCTGCATTTTGAGCAAGTAGTCTGTGTTTTAGCACAGCCCCCTCACCCCCAGTGTCGGTGTGAAATTTCGCGCACAATTCCGGCGTGCTATGTTAAGCATGTAGTCGAGCTATTTTTATTGTGATCACTATTACATGATTCTTACGGCACCGGGAGCCGGTGTTTCTAATGGTGAAGCTTAACACAATCCAATAGTCTTTGATGAACGTTCACCGACCGCCAACGGAACCCCTCACTCACTCGAGTCCCACCAACAGTCGCACAGTGGCAGATGAACAATGCCAGCAAAGACAACAGAGACTAGAATGGTCATTTCTGGTTCATCAGCCAGTCATACCCAACCTCAATAGACAAGCCTCTCACCATACCCAAAATGGTTTCCTACTGCATAGTGATTGAGTTCTCTCATATTTGTGCTTTGTTTTTTATTTAGGGGTTGTCAGCAATGAGCTGAAATCCGGAACACATCTGACTGCATCCATTTAGTATATATGCTAACCAAACTGTAACCTTTAAAACGGCTCAGTGAAAATGTAATTGTGGTTGTTAGTAACACCGGCTATTAACACATAAGTAAACGATTAAAGAAGTATGGGTTATCACCGGTAAATAATTTGTGTTTGAAATCTAAAGCTGCATAAATTCAATACCGTCATGCCGTGCGGAGCTCACGGTTTCGCGATGCTGGCCCGATATTTGGTTTCTGCCCAAGACAAGCCGCCGAAGCATTATTGATCACTGAGATCGTTTCACTAAAGTCCTGTCCTCCTCGGAAAAGAGCACGAAGGCTTGACGATGGTGAAAATCTTTGAAGCATTTTCTCCAGATCAAGTCAAATATTTTTGTTTTGCAATGCCTAGTAGGCAGTTGCTCGCAGTGGGGAATCAATAATAATAGCAATAATAGTTCAAGGACGCCCTTGAATCTACCATAAGACGCTAAATGCCATGGCTGGGAAGGCTGCCAGCGCACAGAATAACTTGGTTCTCTAAAGACAGAGAGTCCAGCTCAGTAGCCTTAGCCGGCCACCGGGTAAGGGAGTAGAAAGTTTGGCAGGCGCGGTACAACCCTCTTCATGCGAGTCGTTGTCCCGTGCTCACCACGTCGCGGGGTACACGGTGAAAATCCTTGTTTGTGCTACAGTTCAATTCCGAGTCCTTGTCAGTTCTTTACTGTGATGCGCATGTTTTTTTTTATTTTCCAGCCTCCCATTTCCTGTCGTAGCATGTCTGCTTACACCAAGCGTATGGCACTCCTGGCCAATCGTATTTTTGTTGATTATGGTCGGCCGCTGGATTCAAAGTCTGCCAAGGTGATAAAAGTGATGAGTGAGCAGCCGGAAGCCATCAAGATCAAGGACTGGTATCCCCCGCTGGAGGAGTACAGCAACATCTTGGCCACTCTCCGTCGCCTAGGTCTCTTCCGTGACGAGCATGCGGACTTCCGAGATGAGATGGACAGACTACGTTCACTTCGGGGAAAGCCACGCAAGACGTGGGGCAAGAAGAGCGAAAGCAGCTAATGCTCCCCCCGCCCCTCCTCCCCCAACTGATTTCCATGCGCATCTGTGCGAAGACGCTCCTGTACAGTTTCCGTTTTTTTTTATCCATCTCGTATTAGCAGGCTTCTTCTCTAACAAAATTCCGTGCTTTGATTCTTTCTGTTCTTCACATATTTGGGAGCTGGCAACAGAATCTACTTCCGCGTGATCACTAGGCAGGTTCTGGATAATCGTTACCCAGCGGACGTCTCACTCTAGGTCTCAGCTCACAGTTGTCTACCTTTTTTCGGATTGGTGGTTTCGCAGATGGCAGGTGGGT